ACACACACACACACACGCGCGCGGATTGGATGGGATTAAGATGATCAGAGTACAGCTGAGGCTGCAGAAATTTGCATTCTGCAAAAAAAATGCTGATGAACCTCATTGTACCAGCAACTGCCAGATAAAAGCAGTGATAAGAGACAATAACATCAAGATTAAACTAAATGAAAACCTGTTTACAAGAGAGTGATTTTAAACATTGTTAGCTCATGTGAATCTGCAATATGCTGGACTGGGAAAGAGGAGATGCAGAGTGGAGTCAAGGAGATGCAGAACGACCTTCCGCGAATCTGGATATTTGCTTAAACCCTATATAATTTCAGATGTACCTGCCTGGAATTAAGTATAATTGATCTTTGTAGAAGGGACAGCTATGTCTGCAAACTTATCCCATACTTTATTTATTTATTTAGAAAGATTGATGGATGGACTGAAGTTAGCTGTTTTCCCATTCTAATGAATGGGACGCACAGATTATGCTTTAGACTTTGGACCTAGAGCCAGATCAGTCAGCCAAACTAAATACAGTGTTCAGGGCATATCCCCAATTAAAAGCCTACCTTAAACATGTAGGTTCCAGCATTAACTACTGCATGATGAAAAGGCTTATCCATTGTACTGGGCTATCAGTCCAATAAAGCAAAATCTTGCTGGAGCAAAAAAAATTTTGCCCTATAACAAAATGTTGTAACATACAGCCTACTGAAGTTCTGAGATACAGAGTTTCACAGTTTGTCTCCCAGAAAAAAGTCATATTGGCCAAGTCTCTCACCATTAGGCTTCTAATGGGCAGACTAAACATGCCTTGCTATGCAACTGATAAGCCAACTTAAGTTGGCCAAAGGTGCTGCTGAGTTTATTTCCAACAGAAGAGAATGTATGAATATGTAACTTGAGGTTGAACTGTGGAGCTCTTGGTGCTGTCTGAGCTTGGTTGTTTGCTTGTAGACGTTTCATTACCAACTAGGTAACATCAGTGTGTGAGTGTGAGGCTTGCTGTTTATATATGGTAGCTTGCCCTGCCAGTTTTGGTGGACCTGTAGTTTCCTCCTTGGTGGTTCCTTGATTTGAGTATTGTTTTCTGCCTGATTATATGTCTGGTCTTGATCCCTGCTTATCTGAGGGTTCGCTGCTGGAGGAGACATGTTCTAGTCTTTTCGTTTCCTTCTTAGGTTTTTTATTCTCTGTTTTGAATTGTATGTAAATGTGGTTTATCTCTGTGTCTAGTGATGATTGATGTGCCTGAATGCCAAGCTTCCAGGAATTCCCTAGCATTTTTGGATATGGCTTGATCTAAAGTACTAACAGTTTCCCAGTTAAAACTCTGGTTGAGTCTGTCAGTGTGTTGTGAAATTAAGGAGTTTTCCTCATTAAGAGGTTTATTTCTTTATTAAATGTGGATACCATCTTTCCTATAAATGCTGAAGGCAGTAGACCACCAATTTTTCCCTGCAACAACTACCTGAGAGATAGGTTGGGCTTAGAGAGACCGACTTGCCCAGTGAGTTTCTATGGTTGAGAGCGGACCAGAGTTTCCCCAATCCTAGTCCCAATGCTCTGATTACTACCTCACACTGTTTAATGCTCATTTTATTGGAAACTGGTTTGACCGTTCTGGTATCAGGCATGCAATGGCATGAATGCTAGTGTTGAACTAATTCTAATAGTGTTCACTTCTTAAGAATATATAAAAAATATGCTTTTGAGGTTGTATACAAATTTCAGGAATTAAATTTCCCAGATGTCACCTTTTGAGGCTGCTTATTAAATTTGTGAGCTGTCCAATTCTTCTGCATTAGAGAGAGCGCATGTCAAAACAATGCAAGATTGTATTTTGCAATAAAATGTTCTTGGCAGTTGATGTTCTATCATCATTTACAGGAAGTTGCACACACAGGCTCTGCAGGCCACGAAATGCTACAACTGTAAACATTGCAAAGTCTTTTTTTTTTTTCCTGATGTTTAGAAAAGACTTTACGCTATTAAAGGGGAGCAGGCTTGTATTAATTTCTACATCTCTAACCTGATGCTTCAGAAGCATGCCGCCCTGTTTAATATGAACTGAAGTCATCTGTCTGGGAGTTGGTCACTCACATCTTAAATTTCTAGCTTGGTTTTGCTGCTGGGATGTCACAATATTGCTGAGCAAATTGGGGCTGGCGGTGGCATAAAACAGGATTGAAGTCACTTAACCCCAAATAAAACAAGACTTTCTATGCAAAAAACCAGTCTTTCTAACGAAGGCACCTTCTGGTTTCTTTCTAGAACACAGCCAACGACTTGTTTGGTCCTGATATCTTTGCTGCTGGATATTCTGCAACAGGTATTCTGACAGGGCAGCCTTCTGGTGTACAAACCAGTCCACTAGACCTCTTCAAAACCAACCCTTCTGCAGCAGCTCCCATATCTGGACTAGGTTGGTAAAGACTGAGAAATGAATCTAGCTACATGTCAGCCTAGTATGTTGTATGAATTGAACTCATAACCTTGCCTGTGATCTTTAAAAAATGAAAATAAGGGACTGGTTAGTTCAGTGATCATCTTGAGGTGGGAACAGGTTAACGAATACTGTTAGTGAGAAGGCTGATCTGAAGCAGGATCTCGGGGACAGATTTTAAGCAACTCAGGCTCCTTGGGAAGAACACTGATTGGAGAGAAGGAAGAAATATAGCACTGAGGGATTTTCTCCCAAGAATTACATTTCTAAAGTAGATCGATCTTTGTGTATGTTAATGATACAGTATAGGAAACTCTGATCTATGGGAGTGGCAAAATGGTAATCATGAGTGCCACAAATACCACTAGATGATATCTACTGACCTTCAAAATTAACCACTGTTATTATTTTTTAATCTTATGTGACATAAGATCTCATGAGATTTTGTATCTCTTTCATTTTTAGTTTGGTAAACATTTTGACACATGGAAAATCATGTGATGGTGCCCGTTGCCTGAGATGGTTATTGACTCTTATTACAACATTGGCAAGAGAAAATTACTTTGGCCCAACTTAATCTTTTTTTCCCAAAGAATTAAAGTAAAATATTTGTATCTCTTATGTACAATAATACCGGAGCTGCTCTGAGCTTATTTAACCTCGTTTAGGATAGAAGTGGGTGCTATGCATTATCAGGATCTGCAGGACATCGGATCTTGTCTTTGTACTCATTATTCTTTGCCATTCAAAACGTGACTATTAAAATGATACCGCATATTCTGTACTTGGATTTTCAGAATGTTAAGACCACACAACAAAGCTACCCTTTACTCAAGAGTCACCAGACTTTTAGAAAACAGGTTAATACAGGTTAATACATTCCAACAAAATCTGTCAACAAAGCCTTCTTGCAGATAGAGGAGGTACAGGCTAAAGGAAAACTAACATGGATCTAAAGGGAAGAATATGGTCAACTTTTATGAAATCATATTGATAATGTGTTTAGAATTGCCCAATCATGAGTCATTTCATTCTTCCCCAGGTGGCCTGCCTACATCAGCATCCCCAACACCAGCATGGGGTCCCCAGTCTGCAGTCTTCAGTCAGCCACCCCCAGTCTTTCCTGGAACTGCTCTGAGTGCTCAGCCAGTGAGCTTTTCACCACCTCTTGGTTTTGGTGCTCCTCAACAAGCACCTAATTGGAGCCAGCCAGCATCATTGGCAGCTCCAGGCCAGGCTCCAGCTCCTGATCTCTGGAGTCAGTCTGTGTGTGTTTCTCCATCCAATGCCTGGGCACAGCCTCCTACCAGTGGGAACCCTTTCCATGTCAACATGTTTCCACCTCCTCTAGCATCTCACCCTCCATCTATGTTGTCCTCCATGTCATCTACTAGCTCTCCTCCTCAGTTGCCTCCTAGAACTGCACCACAAAAGGAGTGTGGTGTAAAAAAAGAAAGTGATGCCTTTACTGCTTTGGATCCTCTGGGTGACAAAGAGATAAAAGATGTAAAAGAGATGTTCAAAGATTTCCAACTGACGAAACCACCTGCTGTGCCTGCGAGGAGAGCAGAGCAGCAACAACCAGGTAACAAAATAGAGGTTCCTCAAGATGTGACTGACTGTGATAACTTGGAAGCTAGCTGATTTATTGAGTGGCCTTGGATAAGCTTTTTCTCTTATATCATAGCTAAGTGGCTGATACAAAAAGTGCGGTATGTGGTATGTAATGCAGCTGACTTTATTTTTGAAAACAGGTCTGGGGGTCGTCAGTGCCTCAGTGGAGAGCACTAGAACTCTGTATACCAGTATTCTCCAACTAGACAGTGCCAGATATGCGGAGTTCATATACATACACACACACACACACACACACACACACATACATACATACATATATATACATACATACACACACACACACACACACAC